TGCTTCGTCTTCGTCTCTAGCAGCCGCCTTTGCGCGTCTTGATCTGTAGACGTACGTACGGGGGTGAGGGCGGAGGAGGAGATCAATTCATGGCTGCAGCGGGCGGGGGGGCTGCTGCGGCTGCGGCGGTGCAGCCAGCCGCCGCTGCGGGTGCGGGCGCGGGGAGGAGTAGCTCTTCCTCGGCCGGAGCAGGTGGCGCTGCCGGTGCCGGCACCGTGGCCGACCCGCGGGCGGAGGCGCTGCGTTGCCCACGCTGCGACTCGGCCAACACCAAGTTCTGCTACTACAACAACTACTCGCTGTCGCAGCCGCGCCACTTCTGCAAGGCCTGCAAGCGCTACTGGACGCGCGGGGGCACGCTCCGCAACGTCCCCGTCGGCGGAGGCTGCCGCAAGAACAAGCGCTCCAGGAGCAGCAACGGATCAGGGGGCAGGCCGGGCTCCTGCGCCGTCGTCGCCTCCTCGAACGCCGCTGCCGGGGGCATCACGTCGTCTACCTCCATGTCGCTCCCGCCGCCGGGCTCCCTCTCCTCGGCGCTGGGCCTCCACGGCCACGGGAGCAGCTCCCTGGCCTCGCTGCTGCTCGGGAGCGGCGCCTCAGGCAGCGACCACCTCGGCCTCTTCCACGCCATGCAGTCGGTCGTCTCGGACGCCACCGCCTACGAGATGCACCAGCAGCACCAGTCCCAGGTGGATCAGCTGCTGGGGCTCGGCTACGGCGCCGGCGACGCCAACGGCTCGCAGATCCACATCAAGCCCTGGCAGCAGCACCTTCAAGACGGCGCTGGCGGCCTCTTTGACGGCTTCTACGCGCCGCTGCTGTCCGGCTCCATCGTGCCGGGACTGGAGGAGCTGCATGTGAAAGCCGAGGCCACCGCCGGCGAGCACCACCACCACCAGCAGAAGAAGGCGACCGATGGGGATCAGCAGAGCTGGGATCAACATCCGACGTCGTCGTCTAACGTCGAGGCTAACATCATGGCCTCGGACGCGCTCATGGCCGCCGCCGCCGCGGCGTCCATGAACCCGGCGGTCAGCAACGCTGCCACGGCGCCGACGTCCTCCCCTCTCATGTACTGGGGCAACGGGGGCATCGGCGGCTCGCCTGCAGCGTGGCCAGATATGGCCAACTGCGGATCCTCCATTGCAACCTTCTTCTAGCCGGCCGTCCAGTGAGTCTCGAACTCTCGACGGATGGCTAGTTCGTTGCCGTTGGTCGTTAACTTGTCGATTTTTCTCCTCCATTTTTCCGGTTAACTCTTTCCTTGACTACAATAACATGTAATTTGTGGGGGGAAAGCTAAGATGAGAGAGAATACTCTGGGTAGCTAGAGAGGGAGATGATCTCGGAGGTCAGAAAGCAGTTAGATCCAAAAAGACTCATAGGGTTTGTTCTCTTTCGCCGATGGAGAGATGGACCAGTCCAGTCCATGTTCTTGTGCGGCGTCGCCTTCAATCGATAATCAAGAAGACAAGGGCATGCATGCATAGATCAACGCGGAGAAGAGGGAAGAAGCACGCAAGCAAGTGTAAGTCTAGATCACTCCTGGCTATACTGCTTGATTTGCTGCTTCTCCCTCTCCTTGGATGTTTTGTATATAAGGCATATGGTGTAGGTGTGGGGAGGATATATGAGAGCTAGCTAGCAATAGCATGCAGCAGCAATGGTGGTGCAAGTAATGAGCCTCTCTCTCTATATAGCTTTCTCTCTCATCTTGGCATTTTAATTAGTGTGTTTAATTGGTTACTCCAATTTGCCAACTCTCGTTAGATGTATAAGTTAATACTAGTACTCCTCCCCTGGAAGCTTAATTAGAGAACTATTTTTGAGTTCTCAAGCATTGGTCACCTTTTTAAGGGTTTCTTCTTCCTTTCTCTCTGTCTCTCTCTTCTAGAGTGGATTTCTTTCATTTTCTTGGGGTTATCTTTTGTTCAAACTCTGTTGTACCAGTGATGACATTGTGAGTTATGAGGAATTAAACTGGTACTGTTATCCTGATGATGATTCATACAAGTCCCCATATATGTGTGTGTAAGTAAGAATGAATACTATATGCACGCATTCTATCAACTTGCTCGCTATAGTTGCTTCACTTTTAGTGCATGGATGGATGTCTCACTTTTGGTCATGTGCAGCAGCTTTAGCTAGCGAGCTTTAATTCGCGCTCCCTCTTGTGGATGCGCGAGCGAGCGCATGATCAGATCTTTGAATTCTGTGCATTTTGGGAGAGGGCTGTCTTATTTGTGAAGGATCGATCCATCATAGGATTCCCGCATGCAGTGCCACTCATGCAAGTTAGCGCTATCATGTTTCTGTGATCAGAATCTTTTATGCCCACGTTTGCAGATAGACGGCGAGGGGTAAAAATACGGCTGTTTACATATGCTTGTTCTTTCCCGCATGTCTCGTAGCCATTTTCGGATCCGTATTTGATGCTAGCAATGTTCACACTGCTGCTACGTGAGTGTACCATGAAAAGGAAAGGGAGATAAATTTGGGAAGAAGAAGGTAAGCAATGTGTGTGCTAGCTAGAAGGCACTTGAAATGGAGGACATTTAATTAGGCTTGGTTTTGTGTGCATGTAGGAGTATATAAAAGGTGCTTGGTAACATGATATATTTAGATTCTCCAAAGCGTCTTATAATTTGGAGAGAGATCATATATATCATGTTACCATCCTTTTGTCATTTATTTTGTGAATGTTGGCGAGTTATGCATTTGAATCTATTGTGCACATGTAACTTCTATAGTACTGTTACCCCGCAAAAAAAAAACTTGCATAGTACTGTTCCTTTTTTTTTGCATGCATGCTGTTCCTAGATTACGGCCTCATAAATTGTTGTACAATTAAAGTGTTATAATGTGGCAACAGCAAGACTTTATATTCAGCAGTTCATTGAATATGCATGCTACTCAATCATACACATGTGGATACACTGCTAGAATTAACAAGAGTATTAACTGATTGTACACAACTTGCTTGTGTATGATGTTTAAATCCTAGTTTCAACATTTCTTTAGCAACATCAGCCCTTCTCAGTTTGTGGCACTTGAACCTGTTTTGGCTTAATTTGTTGGTAGATTGCATGCGCACGCACGTACGTACTTAATGCTTGCATGCATGCTGAATTTAGTGCATGCATCTCTCGGCTCCTTTTCTTTTTCTGACGGGCCTGCTCATACTATATACTGAAATATTGGTGGATGCCGCGAGTCACCCTGGATAATAACATCAGGTGCATATCCTTATGCATAGTGATCGATCTTTAACCCAGGGTCTGCAAATCCAGAGTACGTACTCTGCGTGCTTTTAAAACGCACTATTACTTGTACTACTGCAAAGACATAATAAACCCCTTCAATTATAATTAAATGCCTTTTCTGCTACCGACAGCTGTAATGCCAAATCTCTTTCTGATGGTTTTGCTTCTCGGATTCATAACTTCGTATGTGCAGATGTTTGTGTCAAGTACGTACAAAAGGTAGTAGATCATCAGGGTCCATACGTAGTCTGATGACCCATTGCACATTTTCTTGTCTTTCTGGTGTTACCATACAAAAGGCTGAGTTACTAGATTTTGAAGTAGGAATGTATGGTTAGCATGCTTATCTAACATATGTTCATGTGACAATTAGTTTCTCCTTTTCTTTCTTTCAAAGGAAGATAATCCAGGGTCTCTTCGTCGATTGATGCAGACAATCCTATAAATAAAAAATATCTAATGTGTGACCTTGTATGCAAAAGATATTTAACTTCTTCACCCGCAAATAAAAAGATATTTAACTTTTCTTACAGTCCTATATATTACTAACTGTGGCAGTATAAGTACCTCTGGGAGAAATTAAAGTCCCAGTCATTGAAGCTAACAAAACAAGTGCACGAGAGGACGTCCTCGACTCATAGGCATATGAACCCACTGTTTAGAAATGCATTTTAAACGCATTTTAAAATGTCAAAATTTCGAGAGAAACATTTGACGCATGCATCTTTGCAACATGTGTGCGCGGCACAAAGTTTTGTGAAAAAAACTCTTTTTATTTTGCCTCTATGAAAAAGATAAATTTCAGTGCTTCTAAATAACGTTCCGCGACACAGTTTTTTGAAATTTTCTGTGCGCACATAGAATGTGAAGATGTATGTGTTATTTTTTTTCAGATTTTTTGGCATTTAGAAATGAGTTTCTGAAGTGGGTTCATATGCCCATGGGTTCATCCATGTACTTTCCACATTTGCAGTGGCAGCTCTATTTTTATGCTTGATAATTTTTTGCTTGAAGATACCCTAGGTAGCATTGTGGTGAATACGGAAAAGAAATGACTTAGATGCGAGAGATGAGGGGAATACGGGACAAAGCATAAATCATTCACTAATGGAATCAACAAGTGTCGATTACACTTGTCAAAGGGCGAAAAGCACTCGACAAACAACCTCACCAGCAAATACAACTATGCCAGGTGTTTTTCCACGGACACTCGACAATGGTGTACTTTACTAATATGTCAAAAAAGGTGTACTTGCCGAGTTTCTTAGAAATGTCCGGCAAACAAAAATCAACAAAAAAAATTGAACCAACGTGCCATGTGTCCACACTTTGCGAGTGTCAAGTGCACTTAGTAAAGATATGTTGTGTGCCAGGTCAATTGTGTTGGGGCATGTGGTAAGCTATGCTAGTGACAGACAAGAATTTCTGACGTGGCCCCTCTCCGGTAGTTATTTGCTCTAGTATTTCTTATTTATTCCATAAAAATTCCTCGTGAAGTTTCAGCCCATTTGGAGTTGTGCAGAATAGGTAGCCCGACGTAGCTTTTTCAGGTCCAGATTTTCAGCTGTCGGAATTCCCCCTCTTTGTGTGAACCTTGCATATTATGAGAGAAACGACATTAGAATTACTCCAAGAAGCATTATTATGCATAAAAACATTATAAATAACAGTAGGTAAACATGATGCAAAATAGACGTATCAACTCCCTCAAGTTTAGACCTCGCTTGTCCTCAAGCAAAAACCGAAATCGAAAAACATGTCCACATGCTTAGAGAAAGAGGTGTCAATAAAAACAAAATACGGACATAGAAGCATCATATAAATTATTATAACAACAACAAATTTTAACATGAAACTTTTATCATAGACTTCTCATAAATAAGTGACAATTCATCACAACATCGAAGTATAAAACATAAACTAGATTAGATACCAACAAACTATATTCTCATTCAACTTTGCAACTACAATTCATCATCTTTTCAGGAAGGGTCACGTATCGGAGCCGTTAGGCAAGTCCACATACTCAACCATCCTATAGTCTTCTATGATTGCTAACACTCACAACATACGCATGAGCAAAACGTTTCAACCAGACACATAGAAAGATAGGGGCTTATAGTGTTGCCTCCCAACGTATTCACCTCAAAGGTGATGTCAACAATAATAACTCATGCTACCCATATCCAACTGGATATATATGCCTAGATCTTTCCTCATCACATGATGCTTGCCAAAAGAGAAAATAAAAAGGAATAGAGAGAAGAACCTTGACTCTTGCATAAAAGTAAATTCATAAAAGTAAAAGATAGGCCCTTCGCAGAGGGAAGCAGAGGTTGCCATGCGCTTTTTGTTTGTATGCTCAATCCCTTAGTGCAAAAGAACGTGACGTTATATTACCCCTTATGATAGCAACCTTTATTATGCAGTTTGTCGCGTTTATTGTTTGCCATCACAAGTTCGTACAACGCTCAATTTTATCTTACAGTAAATGATCTAACACTTTTAGAAGCAATTTTTATTGCCTTATTGCACCGAGGACAACTTACTTGAAGGATCTTACTCAATCCTTAGGTAGGTACGGTGGACTCTTGAAAATAAGATTTGGATTTAAGGGTTTTGGATGCACAAGTAGTATCTTTACTTGGTGCGAAATTTTTGGCTAGCAAAGATGGGGGGCAAGCACCACATGTTGAAGGATCTATGACAATATAACTTCTATGTGAATATGAACAAACACAAATCATTACGTTGTCTTCCTTGTCCAACGTGAATAATTTTGGCATATAATCTTTTGATGGGGGCTCACAATCACAAAATATTTCCAAGATAGTATATTTGCATGTGAATCTTCTCTTCCCTTATTAATTCTTTCATGAATTGCATCATTGACCAAT